CATTCCATTGAGTACTGTTGGGAGTACAATGTTGGACTTGAGATGCCTCTGATCAGGATATTCATATGTTCTGTTTTGATTTATCCATTTGTATATGTTTCTGGGCTACTATTTAGTGTTAACATCAGAGTCAAAGTCTTAATAGCAAAAACTGACCTGATGGAATTGGGCATTTGATAATCACAGAATTCATAGAAATAATGGACAGCTTACCTCTTGAAAGCCGGTGGCCTCTGAACCACCAACTTCTTTCCACAAGATAAAAATTTACACTACTTGCAGCTTTTTCTGAATAGGCATAATCTGACCAGAATTAGTACTACAGGCAATCCTTATTTAGTGACTGCCTTGTTTAGCAACTGTTCACATTTATGATGGGGATGGAAAAGTAATTTTGCAATCAGGCCTCACATTTACAATTTTCTTAGTCTGTAAAGCAAAAGAAAGCTGAAGTAAGATCATAAACAGATTTGTGGTTTCATTTAGTGACCACTTCATTTAACGACTAAGTTGCTGGTCCCAATTGTGGCCACTTAACGAGGACCACATGTTCTCTAATCACCTCGGAAGTAGATTATTGTATAAAAATTCAAAAAGGATGCACCCTATTTTATAAATTGAGTATTTTATTATGAACATCAAAGGTCTCCGCTTCAATCACCTACATTTCTTCAAGAAGAATCAGAGATGCAGCTGATAGGAAATATATTTCTGTCAGATTTTAGAAAGCCATTGATTGTAATTTCTGGTATTTAAAATAAGTTGTGAGGGGACTGCTTTACAAACTGTAGTAAGAAATTGGATCACTTCTTACACTTCTGAGAAGAGCTGTACTTTCACCCAGTTTTTCCCTCACAAAGTGCTGATTTTGAGCATTATAATCCTCTACCTCTATCCCTTTTTGCACCAGATAACTTTTAAGGATTGATAATTTCTACATAAACTACTCTGATTGCTGAGATCTTCCTTGGATACTGCCTGCCAGTTGAAGTAAGATACACTCAAAATGGGGTATATCTGAACTTGGACATCATGTGCAACTGTACATCCTTGAAAATAGAAATGTGTACTTCCAGTCATAATGTTGTAGTTCTGCCACAGGAGCAAAGGCAACCCACTAAATGGTTTTCTTACCATTGTCACGTGTCTTTAGTGGCAGAGCTCTGATAAACATCTTTTTATTGTTCCACACATTTTAATTGTAGATTTTTATATTGTTCTGATCCGGCTTTGTTTTATTTAACCCTCTTTTGTAGCTTTTGAAGGATGATCTTGATGTTTGTTTTATTTATATAATGCTGTTTTTTTGTATTTACTAGTTGCACTGAGGGATTTTTACCTGAATAACAACATGAACATGCTTTTAATAAATAAGTCAATTCTTGCATTTCCAGTCTATCTTGTTGAAAGTGCTCTTGATATAAGAACACCTGGATTTATTTGATAATTGGACTGCTAGAAAATTGAAAACAGCTTCTCGTTCCTTCATTTGCAATCTCACCAACTATATATTTTCTCAGGCTCATCATATTTTTGCACCAACTCATAAAAGATAGATTTGCATCATAGAAAATGAAAATCTTTTATAGAATGCAATTCCATGTAAACAAGATGAACGAACTTCTCTGGAATATTATGATATTTTTGCACGTTTAGAGATAGCTTTTTGGGGTGTAACTATCACATCTTTTCAGGAACTTCATCAAAGACGCAAAGGCCACATTGTTAATTAGAAATTACTAGTTGATAACCTGGCGTTGCTCAGGTATTTATTTATAGGGGGAAAATGTCCCGACCAAACGTAATTTCTAATGTTGGATTTTCCCTCTTACTTGAGGGAGCCCCCTTGTGGAGTACTGTTAATCTGTTACCATGGTAACTCCACTGCGCTGTACAGTAGAATACATTTTACGACAGTACAATAGAAGACATTTTAAGGCACAACAGGCTGTATTTTAACAGAACACACACACCGAGGAGTCTTAGGGATGTCTTACCCCCACAATATTTGCTTCCAGAGAATAAGTCATCTGTGTACCAAGTTTGGTTGAAATTGCTCAAGACAATTGCTTGAGGTAATTGCTCAAGATGTTCCAGAGTTATGCTCAGAGTTACACACATCCATTTATTTTTATATATATAGTTATTTATATATATATATATAGTTATTTATATATATTATATATAGTTATCTTAGTATGTAGGTCTTTGGTTATTCGGGTTTT